TTGAGAATGGACTGTAAACCGAGCAATCGAATCCGCGTAGTTTTTGCATCGGCCTGCATTTCCAAGGAATCCAGGAATGATAAAAAGTCTCTAAGACGAGGAGACATCGGCGGAAACGAATAACAAGACACGCTTGAACGAATGGGAAAGTTATGTAGGAGGGTAAAGTAACTGGTAAATGTACGTTTAAATATTGACGAAATGGCAACCTATTATACCAGTTGAGCACCAAAATATAGATTTAATAATAAAATTAAAAAAAATATTCGAAAAAAAATAAATGTAATGTAATGCAAAATTGGAATAAATTAAACACAATGGTATTATCAATCGGTGGAAAAGATGCAAACTTTTGCAATTGCATCTCACTCCTATTTTGAGAACGTAATTTAAAGTAGACAATAGCAATGTATCCGGAGTGATATCGGTTCGTCCGGAATGAATATGTTGATCTAAGCGCATCTAACGTAGATGTGTTGCTGCATTTTCTGGTACTCACGTAGTTCTCCTAACGTATTGTGTGTCGGGATTCTTCATTCCTCTTGCGACTTTCGTGAGAACTCTTACCCGGCCGTCCTATCAGCTGGTCCAGCTCTGGCGAACTCTCATCACGATCTCCAGCAGCTGGCGTCGAGCGTAACGCGACAGCCACGCCCGAAATACGCTCGCTTAAGTCATTCGTCACGCACTCTACGCTTCGCTACTGTTCTCACAAATCGAAGCAACCCGTTAGAAGAAGTAGTTTTCTCAGAGGATGTTGTATCACGTAATCCCTGACAAGTCGAGGCGAGTAGACAACGAAACATGCACGCTTCCTAGACAGGGAAGCTCATTGATGGAAAATTATTCTTAATTTTTTTGTGGCAGAACCTGAGTTCTGATGCTCTTAACACGCATTGTTCTATCTTTATTTACTTGCAAACTTTGTCAATTTAATTGCCATTGCAACCTCTATTTTTCAGTCGATGAAGGAAGAAATTTGAAGTATCATATTGTTCACGATTTAAAAATAAATTTTATTCTTTTTGACTGGAAAAGCTATAACCTATACATATTATTCCACAGAAAAAATACATTTTGTCAGATAATTTAATTTATAAGATTTTATAAAATTATTTATTAAATTATTTTATAAAATAATTTATTAAATAATTTTATAAGATGTTATAAAATAGTATGTTATAAAATAGTATTTTAGCGGCAAAGATTTTAATATTGTGAAATTGAATAAATACAACTCATTTAAAGTAATATACTGATATTATTGTTTTCGTCGTTTGCATTTCTACGTGATCTTCGTCACGTCCTTCATTAAATTCTTCTTCCCTCTTTCTTACTATCACGACTTTGAAGCGTGTCAGTGAATGTCAACGAAACGAACATTATTTGCTGAAGCCACAATATTGTTCCACACTTCTATCGCGATCTGGTTTTCGTTCATGTCTCCTATCGTCGTTCCATGTCCATCTCGATCAGATTTTCGTCCAGTTACCCTGATCCTTAAGCAAATGCTGAGACGACCTCTTGTTTTGCTTCTGAACACATATGTAACTTCAAATTAACGGCTCCTCATGCTCGTCACGCACAGTTGCTAACTTTTTTTGACACATTAAATAAATAAATATTTAATTAATTAATTAATTGACGGTTGACCCGTTGAAATTCAATATAACAGGTTAATATGAGGTCTTGGAGCAGGGCAAACGCGATCGATATCCTTACAATAGAGGGTATCCGAGATATCCTTCCAAAAAGCGGAAGATTGTTTCGAGACTAATATATTTGAGTACAGACAAGAGACGAGACGAGACGACACGACACGACACGACACGACACGACACGACACCACGACACGAGACGACGAGACGATCAACAATGAGCAGCGCACATTCACGACGGGAGGCGACGAATGGCAAAAATGGCGTTGTCGAACCACGTGTTGCTTCTTGGTTTGAAATCAAAGTTGAAATGGAAGCGATAAAGGTGCCGCCGAAGCAAGTGGGCGAGTGGAATGTGTTCAATGAGATCAGAATGAAGGGAATACCATCACTTATTATTTTATTATATTATAATACATACATCAACAAGTTTTATTTTGTTACAATAAGTAAACTCATTACAACGTTTAAACTCGAGTCATGTCGTGTCTTGCTACAATAAACAAACCTTCAAATTCAATCTATGCAAATATAATATATGCACAGATATACAGATTTGATTTGATTTATTTACAGTCGCATCAACTACATAGGAGTTATTAGCGACTTCCTTAATAATACACAATCAGTACAAAAGAACACAGTAACTTAGAATTTTACATGTATGGTTATATATTGTTACACATTTCAATTTCCTTTACAAAG